GTCCCTAATGAAACATCTGTAATAACTTGCGAGGCCTAGAAATGATCTAACCTCGAACAGCGTTTTTGGTTCTGGATACTCCTGTATTGCCCTAACCTTTTCAGGATCCGTCGTGGTGCCAGTGCTGGTGACTACGAAACCAAGAAAGTTCACGCTTTTCTTAAAAAAACGTGACTTTTCGACGGAGACCCTCATGTTTGCTTCGTGTAAGCTTTTTAGGACCCAATCCACGTGTTTAATGTGGGATTCCTCATCTTCTGAAAAGATGATTACGTCATCGACATAAACATAGCAAAATTTGCCAATCTGCTCTCGCAGTATGTCGTCGATGGTTCTTTGAAAGATGCTTGCTGCATTCTTTAATCCAAAGGGGAGTCTTTTGAACTCGTATTTCCCCCCGTTCACAGAGAAAGAGGTTTTTTCACGGTCGCGTTCAGCGAGTATGATCTGGTGATAACCAGACTTGAGGTCTAATGTTGAAAAGAATTTGGCTCTCCCCAAATTCCCCAATATCATTGATATATTTGGCATAGGGTATTTGTCCGGCACGGTTTTTTCGTTAAGTTTACGAAAGTCCATTACCAACCTCATTTTCCTATTGCCCGCTTCATAAGTGCCCTTCTTGTCTACTACCCATATTGGGTTATTGTAGGGAGAGACGGACTTTTGAATTATATCATTCTTTAGTAGATCTTTGATTTCTTTATTAACGAAATCAGCCGCTCCCATTGGATATGGGTAAAGCTTGGCATAGATCGGTTGCTCGTCTGTAGTCCTAATGGTAGCCACGACTGATGTGTTATACGGCAACGCCTCGTCTGGGTCTGCAAAGGCCTTTTGTCTGGTCTTCAGCATTTTCAAAAAAGAACTTCTAACTAATGGGGATGCATCTGCTATTTGTTCAGCTAACTCATTAATTCTTTGAGTCAATGCATGCTCCCTCTGCTGGTTTACAGCAGCCTGTTCGGCTAAAGCTTTGCTGATAGCCGTCCTTATTACTTCCGTAAGCTGATCTACATCCATTCTACCTGATGGTGGGAGAACTGCACAGTCGGAATCTGAGTCGCTAGACTGCCTGCGAGGGTTTCTCTATTGGTTGAACCGAGACATGCGCAGGTCAGTGGTCGCGAAAAATAAAACGGGCCGTCAGAAGATGGGTCGAATTACGTCGCAGTTCTGAACTACGAGAACTGCATGCACAACTTCAGACACACAGAAAGTAACACAATGTAATTTTATTGACGATCTGAATGATCAATTGCTGCCACTAAAATTCCCAAAGTAGTCACTCTCACTTGGTTCTGATCATTAATTTTTTTTTTTTTTTTACATGCAATTGCAATATAAAATACTCGCTAGTCCTAGCTATTTTTTTATAAAATAAATTTTAACACTTTTTGTGTTTGAAGAAAAATTTTGGCTAGAGTATCCACTTACAAGATTCAACTAACACAAAACAAAAAAAAAAATCCCTTTATAAGATCTGTCAATTGCAGCTCCCGCGCTGCTGTCTTAATTGTTGTTGGTTGTGGAGTCCGCCCCACGTTGGGCGCCAATTATATGTTTTCCTGTCCTGTGGTGACTGAAAGTTAGGTTGAGAGGCGACTGTGCCTCTTATTGCTGGCCTCGGGCTCAGACAATGAAATAAGCCATTTAACGAGCAAATGACGGAGTGAATATTTATTTAAGCGGTTTACTGGAAGAACGCTTTTTAACCCTGCTTTTAATTGTTCTTTTTTGAATAATCGAAACAGTTAATTTTATTGGTTTTTCTTATTATATTCACTATTTTTAGTTTTACTTATATGACACCAATTTTTAGCATGTCCTATCAGTACGAGTTAAAACACGAGACTGATCTATATTTTTACAAATCATAGCCTCACCGGCGTAAGTAGAGTTGCTCTTGCCAGGGCTGTTCCTTAACTTGTCTAGCACCCGATAATAAGTGTTGAATAATACCTTATATTAAGTGTTATAAGCTAACTAAGTGTTATAAGTTAACTTATATGTATATATGTATATATGTATATATGTATATATGTATATATATATATATATATATATATATATATATATATATATATATAAAATACCAAATCATTTGGCTTCCATTTCAAATGAGTCAAATCAACTTTTCTGAATTTTCATTTCTTTTTTCAATTCAGCAAACTTTAGCCAACTCCTGAGTAAAATGTTATTGGATCTGTGAACAGCTAAATGTTATCGATAACATGAATAAATGCTAAGCTATAGCTATCGGAAAAACTCTCACTTTAGGGGTCATCTTAGCGTTTGCTAGAAGACGAACTAGGCTAGTTCGTTAGAATAAAAGATATAAATTCTTCTAGGTGAGGCATTGCTCAGACTCTGTCCTAGCGAACTCTGGCTAACGACAGCTCTATCTGATGAGCTGCATGGCTATGAAACAGCCTGTGGAATCGAACATTCAGAGACAGCAGCTCGCAGCCCTAATCAGTTTTTAGGCTAACTTTATTCAGCCAAAGCTGGGCTGTGCTGAAATATGTCTGTCTGGCAACGCCAGGCGACTGTCTGGCAGCTGATTAAACCATAAATGGCAACTGCATTCGAATTTGTTTATGCATTTTATGACCCAAACGTCAGCTTGATGTCGGCATTACCACCTTTGAGTGGCTGCAGCTGCAGTTGGGCCAACGATAAAAACCACACACAACAAGACATAGAGAGAGAGAGAGAGAGAGAGAGAGACAGAGCAATAGACACAAACACACTTGCAACACACACAGAGGCGCTGACAATGAGCTCACAGCGCCAGCGTGCAAAAACAATGAGGTGATAAACTTGAAGGCTCAACGCACAACAGCTTCGGTTCACGACGTCGACAGCGACGCGACAGCGACGTCAACCTCAACGTCAACGTCAACGTGCCGCACATTTAGATGGCACCTTGGAGAGGCGCAGCACAGAAGTGCAGCAGCCGTTGCCTGTCGAGATCGGGCAGGGTATGATATGACAGGGTTATGCCAGGGATCTTCCACGGCAGGGCGGGGGCTGTGTGTGTGTGTGCGCGTGTGTGTGTGGGTGGTTCTTGGTATTGTGGGCATTCGTGTGCATGCGAAGAACAAAGGAAAATCAGCAGGCGACTGGCTTTTATAGCTGCTGTTGTTGTAGCAGCTTTGGCAAGTTTTCATACAGCCCCCAGACGTTACGTATGTGTGTGTGGGTGTGTGTGTGTGTGTGTGTGTGTGTGTGTGTGTGCAAGTATTTCTTCTTCTTCTCTTTAACGTTTTTCAAAAAGCAGAAAGTTGCTTGACTTTTGAATGACTTTCTGGCGCTCGTCGCAAAGGGGCGGGCTTGGGGGCGGTGCTGACTGTAGTTACTGCTGCTGCTGCTGCTGCTGCTGTTGTCGGTGTTGTATTTATTTTATGTGTTAAGTGCGCTGGGCCCGAGCGCACAAAATGCATCTGCTTGTAACTGACGCTGATGCTGCTGCCGCAGCCCGCAATCAACAACTTGCAACTCGCGCAGCGCACGCAACACGCGCCACACGCAGCAAGGAATCGCCGCAACTGGCGTCGAGCTTGGCAAAATCTAGTCACAATTAATGTGGCAATCGTTCCGCTTGACATCTGCTGACACGACTCCAACCAATTATTATTTCATACGAGCAAGAGCTCAATAAATGCGCTCACAATTAGCTAAGCAGCCGAAAAGTATGCCACATGCCACATGGACTCAAAAATATTTAATTGACATCAATATTCAGCTCAATTCGAAGCAATTCAAATAGTAATTTAAGCCCATCAATTTGTGTAGTTGGAGCGCAATTAGAATTTAGCTCAGATTACAAAAATTTTTGGGTGTCTTTGTTGAGTCGAGGTAGATGTGGCAAGGAAACGTTTTCTGTCAGCTGCTTTAACTGCTTATTTAGTTCTTAAGCTCCATTTGGATAGCTGTAGAATAAAGATAAAACGCATTGATAACAAATTGGCTTGATTGAAAGCAAAGTTTCATGCTTTCCTATTCGCTGAAGCAATTAAGTTAAGCAATGCTAAATAAGAATCTAAAGGCTAAGCTGTGAAAGCTACGCTTTACGGACAGAACAGCAATATTTTATGCAAAGCTCATGTCCAAAGCTCATTAAAGTTTGAGCTCAAAAGTGCAACTAGGCAGAGGACTAGCTAAAAAGCTCAGAAAAGCTGAAGCTAAAGAGTAAATAAGAGTAAAGCTCCTTTTTAATATAAGAGCCCAATAGCTTGTTTAAGCTTTCACGACAAAAGTTCAAGCTTTAATATAAAATAGAAAAATATATTTTTGTTATGGCTGCGATTCAACTTAACAGCAAAGCATAATTTCAAGCCAGCAATGAGATAGAGCAAAGAATCGTTAAGCATAATTCAAAAGCTTCTGAAAGCTCTTAAAGAGCTAAAGCTTGGCTAAATTCAGAATGACTAAAACTTGCTTAATAGCAAAGCAAAATTGCTAAGCAAGAAAACTCAAAGCAGCTTAAAGCTTGAAGGCTTGAAGTTAAAGAAGTGAGCTTCAAAATTAGAGCAGAATAATATAGTGGCTATGAATACAAGAGTATTAAAATTAAAGCCATTAGAAAAGTAAAAATTCATGCAAATACGACTCTAAGCTTGTTAAACGGAAAACTAAATGTTGGCTTAAGTCACAAAGAGTCTTAAGAGTAAACATTTTTTTCTTTAGAGCCAGAGCACAACTTCTGAAAGAGCTTAAAGCTTGGAGTCAGATGAAAGTGGATTAATATATGTGCTTAGAGTGCGAGAGTCGTACGATTAAAGTTAAGCTGTGAAGAGCTTTTCGAGAGCTTTAACTCATAAAAGTTGCCTCAAGCTAAATGTGCCTGTTGCAAGTGCTAATTGCGTTCGAATCGATGCTGATTGTGGACACACTTTGGGCTTTTGGTTAACATTTTATTCGCTTTTCGTCACTGAAACTGAAGCCTATTAGCAGCTAAGGGCTATCTCCGGTCAATGGCTGTCAATTTGCGCTGGTTAAGCCTCGTCGTCGACGCGAATGAAACGCATCTGTTGCTGGCGACGGCGCTGTGGCTGCTGGCGACGGCGACGCTGCTGCTGCTGCTGGCGGCGGCGCTGTTGCTGGCGACGTCGCTGCTGCTGCTGCCTGTTGACGGGGCGGCGCTGGCCATTGCCGCGACGCTGCTGATTGGGGCGACGACGACGCACCTGCTGGACACGACGATTGCCGTTGCGGTTGCCATTGCCGTTGCGTCTGCGAATGCGACGCACGCCATAGCCGCCGGGGCGGCGGCGCTGCTGCTGCCGCTGGGGTCGGCGACGGCGGCGACGCTGCTGCATGTTCTGCTGGCGTGGCACGTTGGCAGAGTCGCCCGCCTGGGGCTCAGCTACAGCCTGTTGGCTGTCGTCATCATCGTCTGCGAGTGGCGCCTCGGTTGGCTGCTGCTGCTGCTGCTCGGTTGGGGCATTGAGTGGCTGCACCTCGCCCACCTTCACTTTGGTCACCTGATCGCAGGGCACATCGCTGTAGATAACTACATTGCCATAGTTGCAGACGATCTGCGGCTCCTCGTCATCGGCCGCTTGACGGGGCTCGATGCGGCCCAGGCCGCGCTTGTCCTCGATCTCGTAGATGTTGCCCGCCTTGGTAATGAAGCCGGTCACCTGCAGCGGCTTTGCCTCCTGCACCTGCAGCGTCGACTTCAGCTGCTGCGCCTGCGGCTGGGTCTCCTCCACCTGTGGCGTCTCCACGCTAGCCGACACCAGATGCTTCTGCATCATGGGCGGCGCATTGATGATCATCAGCGGCTTGGTGGGCTTTGCTTCCGTTTTGGGGGCGCTCGTCGGCTTCATCGTGGAGCTGAGCAGCGGCGCTTGGGTTGGACGCGGCTCATCGCGGGCTGCGCGACGGAGAGAGAGAGAGAGAGAGGGGGAGAAGGAACTGTCAGTTTGCTTTTGCTTGTTCGACGAGGGATCAAAAAAATTTACCGCTCACCAGTGAACGGCCACTGGCCAGGGCCAGGACCAGGACGAGCAGCGATTGTAACGATAATATTGCCCACTTCATGGCTTGCTTTGTGTGCGGCAACTGAATCGGGAGTCGCCAAGAGCTGCCACTTATATCAACTTCTTCTGGCCGCCGATCGGTGCATAAATCATTAGCTAACGGCACTTTCTGCCAGCTTCTTGGGCTCTCGAGGCTGTGCATAATTAGCCGCAGTTCAGGCCCTCGGCGTCAGAGTTCAAAGCACGTCTAATGCCGAGTCGACCCATTTACGAGAACGCGCCACGGCCACGGCCACTTTCTGCGCCTCTTGGCCAGCTTGGCTGGCTTTCTATTGGCAACGTTCTGATCATAGTTCAATGCCTGAACTCTGGCTTCATTATCATCTTTGCCTATTTACAAATTTTCGTTTGTTTTACTTTTGGCTATACTCGCTTATGCTGTGAATAGGGTATATTGGCCTTGATGCCGATTCCTTAGACCGTCCGTCCGACAGTCTGTGCGAGCGTCAGTCCAGCGTCTGGCTACCAACGTCTATCTATATGTCCGTCCGTCTCATCTGTCTGTTAGTCCGCACTTCCGTTCGTCCGTCCGTCCGTCCGTCCGTCTACCCGTTTGTCTATGTATGCGATCATCTGTCGCGGCATACTTTCTTCCGTCCGTCTTTCTGTCCGTCCATCCGTCTAGCCATCCGTCCTTCTTTTATTTTTTTCGTGAGCGCGCATTGTGCAGTCGGTAGTCACCGACCCGGCAGCAGCATTCTTACACGTTTGGCGTTCTGCGTATGCAAATTAGCATTTGGGGTCGATCGACAAGCAGAGAAAAAGAATCATATATTATATATAAGCCCAGCTCTTGGCCTCCGTCGGGGTACGAGAGTTAATTTAGCAAACGGGCTTGGACCGTGAAATATTTGCATTCACCGTACCCAAAATGCTGGAGTCTAATAATCAGCCGTAGCTAAAGACAAACAGATGGGCTATACTATAGATAGTATATACATATGTCTAAGACGCAAATCACGCTGTGCTAAGCTAGCTAGAGACAAAAAGAAAAGAGCAAGAAAAACAAATGGCAATTAAAATATTTAATAACAAATTTATCTCAATAATTTCAAAGTTCATTTGTATATTCAAAAGGCAATTACGATAATAATAATAAGAAAAAAACAAATACAAAAAAGTTGTTAAATTTCATTAAAAATATTTTTTATAGTTTTCCATAAATTTTGATTATTTTTCTGTTTGTTTGTTTGTTTGTTTTTTTCGAAGAATTAATTTGCAACTTTCTTGGCAAGATGAAACTTAATTTATTTTAATTAGATTCACAGTGGAAGCCAGATCTAGCTGTGGCCAGAGCTTAGCTCTATGAAATATGCCAAACTTCTTCATTACAAACGAACAAATTGTTGCTTCGTACATGAAGCGAACGGCGCCAAACAGGTTTCATCATATCACAAAAACAGACTAAATAGTGAGGAGATAAGCTAAATATATATATGATATATATATATATATATATATATATATATGATTTATGTTATCTAAATACATTTCAGATGGAACTTCATGTTTTGGACAGGAGCAAGAGTTAGGTGTCTGTCCGTCCGTTCGTCTGTTGACCTTCGTTAGCTGATTTCGTTTCCATAAAATATAGAACTTCCGTTATTTGTTAACATATTTGCTGTGTGTTTGGGCATAACTAGCTCAATTAAGAGTTCATTAACCGGTTTGACCTGTAGCCGCTCGCATCGAATGCCGCCGCCAAGACTAACCGCTGCGATTACAAGCTCAAAGCCGGGGCTAAGACTTACACTAAGTGTATCTGAGTTGACATATCTCTAGTTGCACTTGAACTACAGCTGCCAGAGACCCTGAGAGTCTTCGGCCTAGGCTCAGACTAGACATTTCAATGCTGATAGTGGTCAGCAGATCGAAGCTGCGTTATCTCTATTTCTATGTTGAACCCACTGAAAATGGGAATTCGGGGCACAATGGCTCTGCTTGATTATCAAGTCAATTCATAGTTTTGATCGACGTCACTCGTGGCTGGTATCAAGCGGCGACGGCTACACAAGACTCAAATGTTTGCGCCTCTCGTTAGCGCGCAAAGAAATAGCTCATAAATCAAATTTCTTTCAGCACTAAGAAAAAAATTAAAATAAAAAAAAAAATTTTTTTTTCACACTTTCGGGAAAAAAAAACTCTTTTTATTCGCTTTCAAAGGTAACATAAAAAAAATAAGAAAAACATAAAAAAAATTGAATGTTTGCTGCAGACAATCGATATTTATCGATTGTTGGTGCACTTGCTGCTTTAGTGTCTCCTATGGTCCCTGTGATCCCTGTGATCACCATGGCCTCGCTGCCTCATCTGGTAGTTGCGCAGAGCCTGGGAGAGCTCCTTGAGGCTATCGGCGCTCTGGCGCTGCTGCTTGCGCTCCTGCTGCCGCTTGAGGTCCTTGCACAACTTCTTCAGCTTCTTGCGGTCGCTCTTGGACGACTTGTGCTCATGGCTGTCGTCCTCCTCGGAGGAGGAGCTGTCCCGCTTGTGCCGCCGGCGCAGCTGCTCGCACTTGGCCAGCAACTCCCGGGCCTCGGCATCGCTGTCCTTGGGCGTGGTGCTCGACGTATCCGGCTTGGGCGTTGTTGTCGTGGTGGTTGTCGTTGTTGTCGGCTTGGGCGTAGTTGTTGTGGTAGTCGTCGTAGTCGTAGTGGTAGTCGTCGTGCTGGTCGTCTTTTCCTCCTCCTTGGGCTTTGGTGTGGTTGTCGTTGTTGTAGTCGACGTTGTGGATGGTGTTGTTGATGTGGTCGACGTTGTCGATGGGGTAGTTGTGGATGTTGTTGACGTCGTCGATGGTGTTGTTGTTGATGTTGTTGTTGACGAGGTCGTCTCCTGGCTCTGCGGATAGCCAGAGCAGCAGGCGGCCAAGATCAGGCATAAGAAGAGCGTCTCCTTGCGCATTGCTGATGATTTATTGCCTTCGGCTGCTCAATCAACACTAAGCCAGCCCGACATTCTATTGCATTCATTTATACTGCGGCAGCGACGCGCACCTACAAACGTCCCATTGGGAGCAACAACGCAAAACGCCAAACGCCAAACGCCAAACATACGGACTGACTGGTTTTTCAGTAGACAAAAATTCACAAGCTACGAATTTATTTGAATTTTATGTTTATTTGTGGGGGTTTTGTCGCCGTGCGCTACGCGCCAAACGATTGCGTCCATAAGAACCTGACACAACACAAATTTATTGGTACAACTATTTCCAATAGGTTCCACTGTACCTCTGAAGAAGCTTTCAGCTTAACAACTAATCAGAAATTGGGCAGTAAACAGCTTATCTTGATCTAGAATGTGCGCTCGCTGCGATCGTTAGCTTGGCGCTTTAAGAGCTTTAAGCTTTCGATGCTTTGCACTGGCTGTTTGTAGGTATTTAAAGTGCGTGAGCTTTATTGAGCTATGAAACGAATTGAACTTGAAGCAGAAAACTATTAATTTCCCTAACTAATTCTTATTGAGAAGCTTTAAAGCGCATTATAACCCATTGATCAAGTGACTACATGACTACCTTTAGCTGCCTAGCTATTGATTGAAAAAGCTTGCTCAAGCTTTAAGCTTAAAACTACTTTAAAGCGAACAGAAATTAGCTTTTCTTGAGCTAGACTTTAAGCATTCAGAACACACAAAAAAATGAGAACACTCAATGAGCTTTCAGCTTTGAGAACACATTTTAAATTTGTTATCTTTAAGCTGGCTGTTTTTAGTGAGCTTTGAGCTTTTAAAGGCTGATTAGATTGCCTCAGCATAAGTCTTAAGCAGCTTTAAAGCACATCGTTGCTTTGGGCAAGATCAAGTACTTAGCTTTGGGCAGCAAGCTTCGGCCTGTCGCCTATGCCGCACTTAGTTGGGGCTCAGCCTGCTACAGTTTAATGAATTCTTCATACAGTCGGACAACTATGAGCGGGGTATGCTCCCTCGCCACGTCAGTATTTTAATAAATACGTATTTGCCTGCCTGCCAGTGTGTGTGTGTGTGTGTGTCAGTCGTGTTTGTATTTGTAATTTACGCTCCGGCTTGAGCATTAACCCGTTTTGGCCTAATGCATGCTAAAAACTTAACAACGAACCGAGTCCACATATGCTTTATGAATTAAGTTCCAAATTTAGACGCGACTTTCGAGCGACAAGAGATCCGATATGCTCCAGTCCGCTGGCCGAGTGCAGGGTACGCATGTCAGAGGCCGCAATTGATGTATTATGATTATTTTTGGAATTCTCTCGTTTGTCAATAAGCGGCTAGGCATGCATGCTCGGCTATGCCTGCCCATTCGCACTAATTGTTTATCAATTACAATTGCTAATTGCTTAATGCACCTGCAAAGTGATGCGGCATTAATGTAAATTGCAACATTTTTAACATTTTGCAGGCTCCCTCTGCCCCCTGGTGTTGCGTGTTCAAGTAATTGAATGAAAAGCGAAAAAAATAACAAATAATTAAAAACTGCACGTGTAGAAAGGCAGAGATAGAGAGAGAGAGAGAGAGAGTGAGAGAAAATAAACGCTACGAAATCCCAGCGCTATCCTGATCCTCGCTGTGTGTGGCTGGGGTGTCGAGGTCGCGGGTGGCAGGTAGCCCCGCGCTGCAAGCGCAACAATTTTAATGAAACAGAGAGAATATGTTAATTGCGTGTGAAACCGCTGCAACGAGTTGCCACTCGCTGCGTCTCTCTTTTATTTATTATTACAATTTTCCGCTCGTTTTTTTTTCGTATTTTTTCGCTTTTCGTTTTTCCACCTTTGCAACATTTTTTTGCTTTTAGTTGCAGCTTGCAGCAGTTGAGCAGCAAAAAGTATGCAACATATGTAGCGCGGGCCACATCGGAGCGTTATCCAGAGCCGCATTTAGAGTAAAACAGCTTTCAGCGTCGAGCATAATGTAAAATGCAAATTTTCACGAGCATATATTTCAATTATGCTAATTGGATAAATGAATTGTATGGATCTGCTTCAGCGAGAAGCTGGCGCTGAAGCTGAAAGGCTGCGCATCTGAAACTTTCCGCACAGCCGCCCCGCCAGCCCCTGCTGACTTCAAGCAACAATCGACAGCCGAAAACATGTTGCTTCAACTTTCAATTGGGTCATTTCGTGTTTTGAAAACAATTTTGTTTACTACATCATATGGCTTCCGCATGGGAACTAGCTGCAAAAACAAGGTCCTAGAGATGTTGAATGGATGCTGAAGCGAAGGCTGATACTCGAGTACTATGTATAAGTCAAGAGAATGACAATGACAATGCAATGACAATGACAATGACAATGACAATGACAATGACAATGACAATGACAATGACAATGACAATGACAATGACAATGACAATGACAATGACAATGACAATGACAATGACAATGACAATGACAATGACAATGACAATGACAATGACAATGACAATGACAATGACAATGACAATGACAATGACAATGACAATGACAATGACAATGACAATGACAATGACAATGACAATGACAATGACAATGACAATGACAATGACAATGACAATTATAAAGATAATTATAATAATAATAATGATAATTATAATAATAACGATAATGATAATGATAATGCTAAGGCCAATGCCAATGCTAATGATTAAAATATAAAAGGAAATAATTAGAAGGGTTCATTGATAATAGAAGGAAGACATTACAGAGATTCGCCAGACAGTCTTTAGGTTTTTCTATAGAGAAATCGCTAGAGCTAATTATAGTGCCACAAATACTCATTTGAGTCTTCCGCTCTGCCTATCTATGGCTTATTGAGGCGCGCTTTGTGTGCTCGCATTATGAAATGAAATGAAACGCGACATGGGATGATTTTTTCGGGCAGTTGTCTTGAAATTGGTGTAATTTAATCGCATGACACACAATTTTATGAAGGGAAAAAAAGAAAAAGAACCATATTATTTACCAATGGGATTTGTTTGCATATTATTCTATAATTATTCTGCGCTGGGCTCAGCTCTCAATTTAGAATTGTTGCTTCGTACATGAAGCGAACGGCGCCAAACAGGTTTCATCATATCACAAAAACAGACTAAATAGTGAGGAGATAAGCTAAATATATATATGATATATATATATATATATATATATATGATTTATGTTATCTAAATACATTTCAGATGGAACTTCATGTTTTGGACAGGAGCAAGAGTTAGGTGTCTGTCCGTCCGTTCGTCTGTTGACCTTCGTTAGCTGATTTCGTTTCCATAAAATATAGAACTTCCGTTATTTGTTAACATATTTGCTGTGTGTTTGGGCATAACTAGCTCAATTAAGAGTTCATTAACCGGTTTGACCTGTAGCCGCTCGCATCGAATGCCGCCGCCAAGACTAACCGCTGCGATTACAAGCTCAAAGCCGGGGCTAAGACTTACACTAAGTGTATCTGAGTTGACATATCTCTAGTTGCACTTGAACTACAGCTGCCAGAGACCCTGAGAGTCTTCGGCCTAGGCTCAGACTAGACATTTCAATGCTGATAGTGGTCAGCAGATCGAAGCTGCGTTATCTCTATTTCTATGTTGAACCCACTGAAAATGGGAATTCGGGGCACAATGGCTCTGCTTGATTATCAAGTCAATTCATAGTTTTGATCGACGTCACTCGTGGCTGGTATCAAGCGGCGACGGCTACACAAGACTCAAATGTTTGCGCCTCTCGTTAGCGCGCAAAGAAATAGCTCATAAATCAAATTTCTTTCAGCACTAAGAAAAAATTAAAATAAAAAAAAAATTTTTTTTTTCACACTTTCGGGAAAAAAAAACTCTTTTTATTCGCTTTCAAAGGTAACATAAAAAAAATAAGAAAAACATAAAAAAAATTGAATGTTTGCTGCAGACAATCGATATTTATCGATTGTTGGTGCACTTGCTGCTTTAGTGTCTCCTATGGTCCCTGTGATCCCTGTGATCACCATGGCCTCGCTGCCTCATCTGGTAGTTGCGCAGAGCCTGGGAGAGCTCCTTGAGGCTATCGGCGCTCTGGCGCTGCTGCTTGCGCTCCTGCTGCCGCTTGAGGTCCTTGCACAACTTCTTCAGCTTCTTGCGGTCGCTCTTGGACGACTTGTGCTCATGGCTGTCGTCCTCCTCGGAGGAGGAGCTGTCCCGCTTGTGCCGCCGGCGCAGCTGCTCGCACTTGGCCAGCAACTCCCGGGCCTCGGCATCGCTGTCCTTGGGCGTGGTGCTCGACGTATCCGGCTTGGGCGTTGTTGTCGTGGTGGTTGTCGTTGTTGTCGGCTTGGGCGTAGTTGTTGTGGTAGTCGTCGTGCTGGTCGTCTTTTCCTCCTCCTTGGGCTTTGGTGTGGTTGTCGTTGTTGTAGTCGACGTTGTGGATGGTGTTGTTGATGTGGTCGACGTTGTCGATGGAGTTGTTGTGGATGTTGTTGACGTCGTCGATGGTGTTGTTGTTGATGTTGTTGTTGACGAGGTCGTCTCCTGGCTCTGCGGATAGCCAGAGCAGCAGGCGGCCAAGATCAGGCATATGAAGAGCGTCTCCTTGCGCATTGCTGATGATTTATTGCCTTCGGCTGCTCAATCAACACTAAGCCAGCCCGACATTCTATTGCATTCATTTATACTGCGGCAGCGACGCGCACCTACAAACGTCCCATTGGGAGCAACAACGCAAAACGCCAAACGCTGTGGCCAATGACAATGACAATGACAATGACAATGACAATGACAATGACAATGACAATGACAATGACAATGACATTGACAATGACAATGACAATGACAATGACAATGACAATGACAATGACAATGACAATGACAATGACAATGACAATGACAATGACAATGACAATGACAATGACAATGACAATGACAATGACAATGACAATGACAATGACAATGACAATGACAATGACAATGACAATGACAATGACAATGACAATGACAATGACAATGACAATGACAATGACAATGACAATGACAATGACAATGACAATGACAATGACAATGACAATGACAATGACAATGACAATGACAATGACAATGACAATGACAATGACAATGACAATGACAATGACAATGACAATGACAATGACAATGACAATGACAATGACAATGACAATGACAATGACAATGACAATGACAATGACAATGACAATGACAATGACAATGACAATGACAATGACAATGACAATGACAATGACAATGACAATGACAAGACAATGACAATGACAATGACAATGACAATGACAATGACAATGACAATGACAATGACAATGACAATGACAATGACAATGACAATGACAATGACAATGACAATGACAATGACAATGACAATGACAATGACAATGACAATGACAATGACAATGACAATGACAATGACAATGACAATGACAATGACAATGACAATGACAATGACAATGACAATGACAATGACAATGACAATGACAATGACAATGACAATGACAATGACAATGACAATGACAATGACAATGACAATGACAATGACAATGACAATGACAATGACAATGACAATGACAATGACAATGACAATGACAATGACAATGACAATGACAATGACAATGACAATGACAATGACAATGACAATGACAATGACAATGACAATGACAATGACAATGACAATGACAATGACAATGACAATGACAATGACAATGACAATGACAATGACAATGACAATGACAATGACAATGACAATGACAATGACAATGACAATGACAATGACAATGACAATGACAATGACAATGACAATGACAATGACAATGACAATGACAATGACAATGACAATGACAATGACAATTATAAAGATAATTATAATAATAATAATGATAATTATAATAATAACGATAATGATAATGATAATGCTAAGGCCAATGCCAATGCTAATGATTAAAATATAAAAGGAAATAATTAGAAGGGTTCATTGATAACAGAAGGAAGACATTACAGAGATTCGCCAGACAGTCTTTAGGTTTTTCTATAGAGAAATCGCTAGAGCTAATTATAGTGCCACAAATACTCATTTGAGTCTTCCGCTCTGCCTATCTATGGCTTATTGAGGCGCGCTTTGTGTGCTCGCATTATGAAATGAAATGAAACGCGACATGGGATGATTTTTTCGGGCAGTTGTCTTGAAATTGGTGTAATTTAATCGCATGACACACAATTTTATGAAGGGAAAAAAAGAAAAAGAACCATATTATTTACCAATGGGATTTGTTTGCATATTATTCTATAATTATTCTGCGCTGGGCTCAGCTCTCAATTTAGAATACGTTTGGTCTATGTTTCGAATCGATTTGTATATATAATTGGCAGACGTTTGGTTATTTGCATGCGCATATTAAAATGTTGTATTACAATGCATTCGTCGCAGCAGACGGCCGACGGGCGGACTTGTGCTAAGCCGTGGCGTGCAACGCTGCTCGTTGCTTAATCCAAATTATCATCATAAGAGCTGCACTAATGAGCACAACTCAACATAAACAGAGGGTTGCTGTCGTCCGTTATCCGTCGGCCGACGTGTAGCCTGCCTGGATAGTCAAGGCAAAGTTGTCAGCCAGCAGCCAGATAGCAAGTTTTTCAAATGTCATCAAGCACTAGCAGCGGCAGCGCCAGCGCCAGCAATTGCTGACAAGTGCAGCGCTCAGCGCCATCAGTCTAATTGCAGTTTGAGCAAAAAGTTTCGTACATTTCGCGCGTTTGCCAGCGCGACTGGCGTAGCGCAGAGGCGGCGTCGTCCGTGGCACTCGACTGCAGCCAAAGGCTGCGTGCCGCTGAATGTCCTGGTTTTATTGGGACATGTTCTAAAATATCTGAAAACGATGCAGCTTCGTGTCGGCTGTGCTAAAAAGGGGGCAGAGCCGAGCCAATGCGGCAGAGGCGCAGGCGCAGGCGCAGACAGTGGCTGCGACAGCGGCAGCGGCAGAGGCAGCGACGCGACGCTACTTGCGCCTAGCATTGTTATTGCCAGCTAACAGCGGCGTAACAGTGGCTTCACAGTGGCTTAACAGTAAATGGGAACAGTTCTGTGCCAGTCTTGTGAAGGCGATTGGACTTAATTGGTGGGTGGGTGTAGCGTGGTGCGAGTGGTGGGTTGCATGTGAGTGTGTTTGTCTCTACTTCTTCTTCTTCTAGTTATTTTTATTTTCGTTGCTGTTGTTGTTGTTATTTTTGGTTTATTTAGAACTCGTGTTGCTGCTCGGGCTTTTTATGCCACATGTCCGCATTTAGCTTGTTTTTCTGTTTTTGTACTTGCAGCATTTTCGCTTTGATGCGTGTGGCATGTTTAACGGCACTTGATGATACCAACAGCAGCAGCAGCAACAGCAACAGCAGCTGCAATAACAATTCCACCGTGATTTGTGCGTCGTCTTCTACGTCAGGTAAAACACCCAAAAGCAGGCAATGCATTTCAATTGCTCGACGCTCGTTGCACTTCATTAAACCCGACATCGACGGCTGCCAGTGCAGTTTCTGTGCTGCCTGCCAGTCTGAGTGTTGAAGTGCGCCACGTGACCTACACTCACACAGTCACACACACACACACAGAGAGAGACTCTAGAAAGAGCTGAAATCGTAGCCATTGCCTGCACAGGGGACACATCACGTAGCCGTCACGTGGGCACAAAAATATACCAAAAAAATAAATATATATAAAGCAAGTAGGAAAGCTCTAGTCGGCCTGCTCGACTAGAAGATACCCTGTACTCAGTCCTATCTGCGGCTTAATACCTTAAAAAATAACCGACACTAGGACACCGAGACTCGAACCAACATCAACCTTCCCAACGCGCATCATCATCATCTACTAAATACATAAATAATTCTTCAAGGGCCTTAAATAAAGGTAGAAATATATATTATATATAGTTATATAGTAAATATAGGTATAAATATGAATATATTTTTTTTTTACATTTTTTATTTATTAATTTTTTTATATTTTTATATATATATTTTTAGACATTTTTGCTATGTTTAAAGAGTGAAAATTGTCATAAATATTTATTTTGTAATACATAAAAATATTATTTAACAATGTTATTGTTATTGTCATTTAAATTTTTCATAAATTAAATATATATTTGTATACAGCACATTTATATATTATTCTTTATAAATATTTTTTTAATATAAATATATGTACATGTATGTATTTAAGTAAATATTTAATATATATGTGCAAAATATAAAGTTACAGAAATTTAAATTAATAGAAGAGATTCTCTGTCTATAATAAACACACTTTGGAAATAACTTAACTAAGTCACAAGAAGGTAAATTAAATAAAATGCTAATAAATATTAATAATTTTATTAAATATATAATAGTAAGCTTAGCAATTAACAGTTTTAAAGAGAGCAAGGATATTTTAGTCGTAACTTAATTAGCATTAGAACATTATCGTTAATGATAATTAGCAGAATCATGAACAGAAATGATCATTATCGCTAATGAACATTGCGACCAACTTCATTATTATAATAACAATTGATGTTTATTAATAACAATATAAAGTTACTAAAATACTAAAAATTATATAAATGAACATTTAAACAATTAAATATTAACAAAGTATTAACCAAATAGAACTTATATATATATTACAGAATTTGTTAAGCAAACAATATTTAAATAAATGCAACATTATTTATTAAATAAATTTAATTTATTTAAACTTAAACAATTTAACAAAAAAAAAATACTTAAATTTATTCACCAATTGCACTGAACCGCACAGCGACTGACCCAGTCCAGGTCACGAACTTGACTGATCGTCCACAGCCGCTGCTGCGCCCTTTTATACCCAAAAGTCACTCAAAAGGCAACTCCAGCAGAACTCTTGAGCCCTTTTTAAGTGAGAGTTTTTACTCAATTTGAATTAAGTTGGGAGCAGAAGGAAAGCCGAACAGTCAGAGCTAGCTACATACACACAACTTGTCATTCTGATCGGGAATATAAATATATATATAAATATATATATATATATATATATAAATAAATAAATATATATATATATATATATATATATATATATATATATATATATATATATATATATTTATATATATATTTATATATATATATATATATATATATATATATATATATATATATATATATTTATATATATATATATATATATATATATATATTTATTTATTTATATATATATTTATTTATATATATATATATATATATCCTGAGCACATTTATTACCTTTTTACTCGTTTCACATGATATAAAAGGCAGACAAATATTTGCAACTATATAAACAGCTACTGATCATGCTGATCATATATAAAGTTATATATATATATACAAGTTTCGAGTCTCTAGCTCTAATATATGTTGAGATCGACGTGTTCACACATACCTACAGACAGACAGACAGACGGACAAATCGACTCTGCTTGTCGTTCTGATTAAGCGCCTTCTTCTGATTGTTACATACATTTTAACAAAACCATTATACCCTGAATTCCCATTTTCAATGGGTAAAATAGTGAAATAATAAAAAACATAAATAAATAAAATATAAAAAATATAAAAGTCGGCATTGGCACAAAATCTAAAGAGTTGCTGAAAGCGATTTCATTGCAGTCATCGCCGAGCCGAAGCTCATAAATAATATATAAAAGTGTGTTCTGTTTAAAGGCGCACAACTTTGAGCTGTCCACACGACTTTTTTTGATAACCCATTTAAGAGCTGATAACTGTTTGGTGCTGAGCTTGATTTGACATTTTATTATAGATGGATCAGAGCAATGCTTGCAAATTGCTGAAGTGTCTTATCAGAATAATAGTCGTCGAACTGTCGCATTAGAAGGAATCCATAGAAAGTGTGCTCTATGGGTGCATCCATGTGATGATTGTGGAAGTTTTTTGCTCAACTTAATGTCATTAACTTTGCTATTCAAAAAAGTTGATTTCGTTAATATTCAAAATCAATTTCTCTGATTCATTATGATTTAAGTTTAGGTTAAACTAAAAAAAAACGCCAAATTTATCCTTAGTCTAGTCTACTTTATTCCTTTTTCCCTTCTTGTTGTTGTTATCTTATCAGCCTTCGCCTGTTGTGCTTTGTGGGCAGATTAGAAGCGAGTTAGAGCTGGGGTCAATGGGTTCGGCGAGTCTAGGAAGCTCTTAAGGCTCAGTTCTAAGTTTGTCCGACAGTTAAGGCTTTTTAATTTGGTCATCTTTCAGAGCTAAGAAGCTGAGCTAAATGTTCATTGTTTTGAATTAGAAAGAAAAAAAACAAGAAAATACAAAATTTTCTCAGGCAATTTGTGACTCGAATGTCCAACACCTACACACATTGAGAGCTTGCAGCTTGGGCCTTGGACATTTCCACTTATTTTGCAGCATACTTGTAGGCATTTGGCAAAACTGTGACCGAGTTGGAGCTGCTGCTTCATGGCTGAAGCCCAGCTAGCAGGCAGGAGGCGAGGGTCCATCAGCTGGCTGTGTGGCCGGGCGCTGGCTTTGAGTTTAGTTTGAAAAGTAATCGAATGCTATAATTTCCATTAAACTGATTTCCCACGACAAATGCAGGGCAAGCAAGCCGAGTCAATCCGAACCAACAGACGTTGCAATCTTGATGAGTGTGGGCGCTGCTGTTGGCTGTTGCACGTGCGGCCACCAGGCAGCCTGATTGGGTGTGCCTGGCGAGTGCCCGTGTCACACTAATGTACTTCATGTCAGCTCAAAGGAAGCGGGAAGGCTGCAGGCGGATGGGGGCGGCTGGGGGCGGAGCACCAGTTAATGGCTACATGCATAAAAAGCTGCCCGGAAAGCAGCTTGGGCTCTCTCCATGGAGATGGACCTGGCCGGGGACCCGACTTGACGTGCCGTGCCGTGCCGTGCCGTGCCATGCAGCGCCTCGCCTCGCCTCGATTTGACTCCACTCGGTGCGCTTCAGCTGCATCTCGCAAATGAAATATAAATTAAATTAAATTCCAAAAGAGCAAGACGCTTGGCTAGCACATACATAAATCAACAGCTCAAAGTGCAGGCCAAATGTCAAGCGTTGCATCGATTGCCAATTGCATTGCATCGCAACGCACATGCTACATGCCAAATGCCACATGCCGCATGCCACACGCCGCTTGCCACATGGCACAAAGCTCTGCTCGCCTTGCACGCTTTGTGCTGACCAGCGCTACTTGAAGAACTATCGATTAACGCTTATCGATTAATGATTATCGATTAACACTTATCGATTAACGATTAACGATTAACGATTTAACTTGAATTTCCTTTCGAACTAAGCAGCAAGACGAGGAGGCAAAACGACCTGACTTAAGGCGGCTTAAGGCGGATAGTTCTAGAAGAAGTCTCTATATAAAGAAGCCACTATTGAGTCATGGCTCGCCCAGATGGCGTCTCATGTGGCACACTGTGATGCATAAACATATCGAATTGAGGCAATCCGAGCAATGACTTTGTTTCTGTATACGCAGGGCCCGAGCTCAGCGATCGTTGCCTCCTCGCTGTGCCACAGCAGCTACGGGAGCACGCGCTCTCTATGCGACGCAATTAGCCGGAAAATTCTGGTATGTTTATCGAGATCTTATGCAAATGCCTTGACAACAACAGCAACAGCAACAGCAACAGCAAGCACAACAATAACAATACGCCGGGCAGCAGCAACAAACACGACTGGTAATAATTTTCACATTTCCGTTGCAAATAAAAACCTATTCACTTTGCTAATATGGCCGCAGCGATTCATCCGGTGTTGGCTGCGTTTCGGGTGCAGGTGCTTCAAAACTTTCCGCACGCAATGCAATCATTTTCCCAAAGGCCAAGGGTCGCTGCATACACTGGCCTGGACGGCGTTCATGTTGATTCTGTTGTGGCGTTTGTCTTCTCCATTGCAGTTGGGTGTGGTATATAGAGGGAGACGGGTAGAGGGAGCGAGACGGATAGAGAGAGATTGAGATGCAGAGAGGGACAGACGGAGAGAGAGACGCAGAGAGAGGAGAAAGCACAAAGAGGGAGGGAGAGAGAGCGATGAGAGAGTTGGAGAGGCGAAGGCAGAGAGGAGAGAAGAAGAGAGAGTTGGAGTATAAGAAAGAGAGAGAGAGAGAGAGGGAGAGTGATGGAGAGCTGAATAGAAAGAGAGAGGGAGAAAGAGAGACAGATACACAGAGAGAGATAGAGAGTGAGACAGAGCAAGGGAGAGATATTGAGAGAGAGAGGGAGAGAAAAAGAGAAAGAAAGCTAGAAGAAAAGAAGATGAATAGATTGAGATTAACGGAAAATGTATAGAGCAAGTGTATAAAGGCAAAGGAAAAAGATAGATAAATGGACAGAAATAGATAGATAAAGAGAGAGAGAGAGAGAGAGGGCTATATAGACTTACAGACAGAGAGAGAGAGAAAGAAAGAGACATATAATTTGAATACAAATAAATTGATTAAATTTCTATTAAATTCTATTAAATTCTATACGTATTCCTTTTCCCTTTATTCCCTCTTTCTCACTTATTCCCCCTTCTACTCTCTTCTCCTCGACTCCTTTAGACTTGAGCTCTTCAGTTCTGATTTGTAAGCTTCCAGCTGTTGTTCAGCTGGAACGTCGCTATCGTTCCATATGCTGTTGGGGAAAACCTCAGTTGAGTTTTCCCAGTTTCGCACACTTTCCCAACGACTGTCAATCGAACGAGTTTTATGTCGTTATTCATCGATAAGCGGCAATCGATGCCGATATCGATGTTGCAGTGCTGCACAACGTCGGATTTCGACTCACACACATATAAATACACACACCGAGTGTGCTCGGAGGAGGTGTCACGTGCTTTCGGGTTTGTCGCTAATCTTTAATTCACCCAGTGAAAGTCGGTTTCAAATTATATTTTTTACCTTTATGTGAGTATGTTTCGCCAGCAAGCGTATTCCTGCTGCGGCTTGGCCTAAGCTCTCTACCTCTACCTGGCCTAAGCTCTATCTATAGCATTTGTTTAAATGTCAGCTAGTCAGTCAGTCAGTCAGTCAGTCAGTCAGTCAGTCGGAGGGCTGGTCGCATTTGCAAGTCGTTAAATGCTTTTGTTGCTTCGCATTGTCGTGGCGCACACTTGCAGCTGCAACAGTTTTGCTGCTGCTGTTGCTGTTGGTGTTTGTTTCGTGTTGCTGGCATTGTCAATGCTTCGACTTCCTTCCGCTTTGGCTAACAAATTTGCGTCGTGCATGCAGGCCAGGCAAACATAATCATCATTATTGCTGCAATCAGCATATTTGGCAGGCTTAAACCGGCTGACTGAGCCGCAGCCCCAACAGGCGCCAGGCACCAGGCACCTGCCTGACTTTGTTCATCCTGCAGGACACAGCAAAAGCAAAAAAAGAACAAGAATGAAAATAACACGGAAATATTGTAAATTTTATGCCGTTCGCTACTTCAACGGCCACAACTACTACTTCAGCTTAGTCGCCATAGTTGTGGTTATGCTTAATATCCGTCATTAAAATTGTTGTTTGTGCCGCAACGTGCGCACTCCTTCCCTTCGCCCCCTCCCCTTTCTCTCTCTCTCTCTCTCTCAGTGTGGTCATAGAGGCCAGTTGGCTGGCTTCCTTTACCGCTGAGGCCTCTGGCTGCATCGAGGTGCGTGGGCGCCTTCACCGCGTGCCTGTGCCGCTTAGGCGCATCCTGAATCCCACTCAGCCCCAGCACACACAGAGAGAGAGAGAGAGAGAGAGACTAACACAGGTGCATTATGCAAATATTGTGTGGCTCGTGTGTTTCTATGGCATTGCACGATAAGAATCCATTGCGCAGAAATTAATTAGTCAATTTGCATGAAATTTATGTACAAAGCGCGAACAAACGAAACGAATTTTGATGTATTCCGCACACATGAAGGAGACACGCGCGGCCTGGCTCACTCGAGTCGAGCTGTCGAACGCGGTCAACAAGTCATGTAGTTGCAGCACAAAGGCGAGGGAGGCAGAGGCAGAGCGGGGGTGGGTGGTGGAGTCTCTCCCGCCCTCGCTCCACAGCTCTAATCAAATGAAGTTGCTCAGCGAGCTGAGACTCATATGACAATAACTGATATAGGACCCAGCGCAAAGTGTGTGTGTGCGAGTGTGGATGGCTGTGTGTGTGAGAGAGAGGGCAGTCCGAGAGCTTTGGCAAACAAACAGAGCTTGACTGAGGCTCGAATTCACATATCAATAACAATTAGTGGCGGCAACTATCGCTATCGATAAGATTGGGCGCAGAGTCAACTGTCATTTAGCTGAGGAATGTCAACGAAGTAGGCGCTGCATTACCAATTAATTTAAACCCCAACTCATAACATTGATATACAAAATCGAATTACAAAAAAAAACTAGAAAAATAAAAAAAAAACCAAAAAAAAACATAAAAAACGCTGCAGCTAAATCGCAAATGTAAGTAGAGAGCAAGGCACATGGCCGGGAAGGGGGCGGCGGAAAGCTTTGGCAGCCGACTGATCCTCTCTTCCTCTATACAGTATGGCTATGCATTGGGATGTTAAGTGCGATGGTTGCGACAAGACGCATCTGATCCACTACAGATACAAATGCCTGCGCTGCGCCAATTACGATCTGTGCGCCATGTGCTATGAGAACAAGGTGGAGACGGGACGACACAGCAGCAATCATCCATTCCAGTGCCTGCTGGATCGGGCTGCGCGCGAGCTGTTCTTTGCCGGCGAGGAGATACCGGATCTGTGCGCGGACAGCTTCACGTGCCCCTTCTGCGGCAAGATGGGCCATGCCGTCAAGGAGCTGGTGAAGCATGTCCAGGCCAAGCATCGCGGCGACAATACGCCCGTCATCTGTCCGCTCTGTATCGCTGTGCCCGCGGCGGACACGGTGCGCATGAACAATCTGGTGAACCATGTCTCCCTCATGCATGGCACGGGCATTTTGCGCATCGGCGGCGGCGCTGGCAGCACGCCAGTGCGCACCACCGGCTTCGAGCTGCCGCCGCTGGGCGCGGTGGGGCAGCCGCAGGGGCACGAGAGCGAAATAGCCGGACACGGCTTGCGCAGTCGCAGCCCACCGCCAGATCCGGCACGCTTCGGACTGGCTGGCATCCAATGGCCGATGGCCGGCCATAGCTTGGGCAGCAGCGCCTCCCAGGAGGAGGACTTCTATCCGGACTCGTGGCTGCCAGAGCTGAGCAGCCTCAGCGGCAGCATGCACACCATGCGCGACACCGATCTGGATCTGGGCAGCCTTGTCGACCATCCGCAACAGTTGCGCCGCGGCACGCCACTCGCTCTGCTGCACCAGGATCATCAGAGCCACAGCCAGCGGCTCACTCAGACTCCGCCTGAGCCGCCGCTCGCCGTCGAGGAGGACTTCAGCGACATCGAGCCCGATGACATTGCCGGCAACGAGCCGACCTCATCCATCTAAGCGCTGCCCATTGCTGTCACTTCTTTCAGTTTTGTTCAAAATTCATGTTTCAATCGTTTCTTCGTAGCGCAAGCATTCTTTTCTTAACCAACTACCCAACACTAGATCAGCTTTACCTAATAAATAATATGCGTATGAATGTGTAAACTATAATTATAACTATAATTGGACCTTCGTATAGCTGAGGGCTTATCGTGGATGTCGTAAATTATATTTGAAGTCTTTTGCGCTGCTGCCTCTTTGACTACTGCGTGTAGCTCTAAGTTAATGCCAACGTGATTACGGTAACTGGTAGAAGAAGGAAGCTTGCCTGACCTTAGAAAGTATGTTTGTTCTTAGTCAGGATGTTGAGCTGAGTGGATATAGCCATATCCATCAATTGCTGTGTTCGTCTGCATCTGTGTCCGTCCGTCCGTCTATCTATCTGTCTGTCCGTCCGTCCATCCATCCATCCCTCCCCTCGTCCCTATGTCCGTCCGCCTATGCCGGTTTTTGTCCGTTCGTCCATCCGTCCATCCATCCATCCCTCCCTTCCTCCGTCCCTTCCTCCGTCCCTCCCTCCGTCCCTCCCTCCGTCCCTGTGTCCTTCGGTTCGTTCTTCCCTATTTCCGATCTGTCCGTGTGTTCATCCGTCCGTCCGTTCGTCTGTGCCTGCGTCCGTCTGTCTGACTGTCTGTCTGTCTGTCTGTCTGTCTGTCTGTCCGTCCGTCCGTCCGTCCGTCCATCGATCCATCTATCCATCCATCCCTCCCCCCGTCCCTATGTCCGTCCGTCTATGCCGGTTTTTGTCCGTTCGTCCCTTTATCCATCCGTCCATCCGTCCATCCGTCCATCCATCCATCCATCGCTCCCTAAATCCCTGTATCCTTCGGTCCGTTCATCCAACCTGTTTCCGTCGATCTGTCCGTGTGTTCATCCGTCCGTCCGTTCATCTGTGCCTGCCTCCGTTCGTTCGTCTGTCCGTCTGTCCCTGCGTGCGACGGCCCGCCTGTTCATCCCACCCTGTGTCCGCCCATCCGTCTGTCCCTATGTCTCTCCCTATGTCCGTCCCTGTGTCCGTCCGTCTGTCTCTCGCTGTATCCGTCCGACTGTATGTCCGACACTCCGCCAGTCCGTCTGAGTGTCTGTCTGTCCGTAATCGTACAGACTGCAAACTTCTATGAGTATATTTCCCTTAAAGGAGTTTATCATTTTTGCTTTCGATGAGTTATCCCATTAGAATGCTTGGAATTTCGGCTTAGAGTATCTCTATGTCTATATGCCCAGCAGTCCCATTTCATATAGTAAATATACATAGATCCTATGGCAAAGTCCCGTAAACATTTTGCAGTCAACTGCCATGAAATGTGGCTGAACATAACACGACTCGAGCTGACTCAGGTTGACGGCACGCTCACATTTCAATCGATATATGCATGGAACATGACCTCTTCAATGTCTCAAGATGTTGCCATAGGTAATTGATAGTTTTTGAATATGGAGAGCTATAGGCCTATAAACGTTCTTTTATAATTGAATGTTCAGAGCTAATTAGAAAAGTAAATGATGCCTGCCGCCTGTCGGTCTGTCGGTCTGTCGGCCTGTGTCTCTTTCACTCGCCTCGGCGTTCCTTATCTCGGCAGGTGCTTCCTAGGAGCAGGTGTGCTGCCTAAAGCGTAAGCTGCGCTGCCTTGTCTCCGGGCACGTCAGGAGCGAAGTGTTACAGTTGAATGTCTACGTTGCTGTAATCGGCTTAGAGGTGAAACCTTTTGTCATTATAAAAGGATTTCAAGCTTGACAACATTTCCATTTGTTGCGATTTGGTCCTCTCCACTGGTGGGCTGAGGAGGCTTCTGTGTTGCTTAGTTAACTTTTGGCTGGCTGCGTCCGTCGCCGGGTCTTTGATTTTGTTCAAAGAAATTAAGATTCAAAAACCGATACCGTGTACGTTACCAGTCCCAATTATAAGCCGGCCTGCCTGCCTTGCCCCGTGCCGAGCTGTGCCGTGCCGTGGCGTGCCTTCAGGTAAACGAGCTGCGTCTGTCAGTGGCAACAAGCATTTGAGATAAATTGCCAATCGAACTAGATAAAATGAGCTGTGTAAATAGTGGAAAGGCGCAGATAGGCCACTCGGAGCAGAGCCCCAAACCGTCGCTGGCCGAAACTATGCCCGAGCTGAAACTGAACCACATCAAATCAAGTCAAATCGAATCACAACGAAACAAAACAAAACATAACAAACACATCCACCCGCTCCCACCCCGAGCCGGCTTTGATCTGTGCCGTCTGGCTGTTGGGCTTTCGGATTCAGACTGCCACTTGGCCACGGATCCGAATGAGTATGTGGCTGACCATGGAGACGCAGCTGCCTGCAGGTCGTTATGTCTAATGAGTATTACGAGACATGTAGACGGCAGCCGGGACGAGCAGGCTTAAAGGGTTGCGTCTGGAGATGAGTGCGTGAGACCATCGCGTGGGGTCGTGCAGGTCGTGAGTGCTCGACTTGCGGCTGATCGAAGGCTGCCTCGAACACAACACGCGCCTCCTTTCGTGTCGTGTCACGAGAGCTCGCTTTTACAGTTTGCCACGCATCACTTCATAGCATTGGCCTTGCTCGTGCCTGGCTTCGTGTCACGCGCTCAGCTTGCCACGCATTGATATGACAATAAAATTGAACGACTTTGGTTTTGGATTTTGCGACTTTGCCTTTATCGGCTGCACCCCCAGCCCGCTGCCCCCACCCACCCATGTCGGACGCTTGCACAATTTTTAATCATGGCTGGGTATTCTCGACATGGCCCCAGCTATCGGCTGCCAGCCGTGGACATTGTTTGTGCCAGCGACACATAAACATGCATGGCCAGACTGTGCTCCAGCCTCGGCGGCGGGTCGGCCGCTTGGCTGGGCTTGGCCTGGCTCGGCTTAGATTACGGGGAGGAGCAGGTACGGGCCTAGGACCGGTTTATTGTTGCCGTTTGTATGGCTTTTAGTCCTTTATCTTGTTTCTAACTCATTGGATCGCAAAAACGGTCTCGTGTTCACCTTAATTGGGGTAAACATAAGTTCTGATTGCCCGCCGGGCTAGGCCAGGCCGTGCCAGGCCGCTTTTCTATACAGCTCCAGCTTTCCCCTTGTCTTCGGATTTGGCTGTGGCTACGGCTGTGGCTGTTGCTCCAGGACGCATACCAAAGAGTTAACAGCGACATTTTGCAGCTTCTTTTCGCTTTGTTTGTTGCCTTCGCTTTCTTTTTCCACTATCTTTTTATTTGGACTTCTTTTTTCGCTCTTTTCCTTTGGCTTGTTGCTGTTGTTGCTTTTCTAATTGAACTTGTGCCTTGTCCTCGGCTTATATCAAGAAATTTGCTGCCCGAAAAGAGCAGAAGACGTTCCAGCGCAATCTCCATCGCTGGCCAAAAGCGAACAGCGAAAAGCTAAAAATCGAAGACACAACAACGCTCCTAACATATCCAATTAGATGGCAGCCGAAAATGGAAAAGGGGTTGAGCGCACCAGAGCGACACGCAGAGGGAGAGAGAAAGCTCCCAGGGCGAACGGATGTGGTGGCCCGAATGCCATTGTTGCCGGCACACAGATCACAAAAGCGAGATAAAAATTGTTGAACGTGTAATTTTTATTTATTGCATACAATTTTTAGAACAAATGACAGACAAAAGGTTGCCGTCAAGGCAGTCGCTGTCGCTGCTGACGGCGCAGTTGACGTCGAGTCTGGGGAGTCGAAAGGGATTGCAAAGCGGAAATTTCATTGCCTACATTTGAGCGCGCGCGTTCAGTAATGTATGCATTTGCCATTGACTGTCTGCCTGTGTGTGTGTGTGTGTGTGTGTGTGTGAGTGTCTGTATGAAAATTAAATTTTCTACTTCAAAAGCTGAGCGACGGAACGGACGGAAACAGCAGCCACAGACCGCAGCCAGCGCCTGCTTCAAAACCCGAATTGAAAAAGCGTTTAGGACACTGCCTTTTTCTCCCTCTTCCTCTGTGTGTATGTGTGTGTGTGTGTGTGTGTGAGTGAGGGCAACTAAATGATGGGGAAACTATAAAAATTTACATAACAATAATAAAGGCAAAGGCAAAAACGGCGCAAAGTCAAAGAAACGAAAGACATTTATTCATTTCTGTTCTGAAATTAGCATAAAGTAAACCTCGCACTCACACGCACACACACACACATACACACACGCACACACACAGCCATTTAAATAGTCGCATAAGGGGCAACAATGGGTATGCGTGGGAGTGGATGAGCTGAAGCTGCAGCTGGGGCTGCGGCTGGGGCATGGCTGCGGGAGCTACGCACAATCAAAGCCTTAACTTCAGACACTGTTCAGGCGCTCTGTCGTTTGATAAGCGTGAAAAACGTGCAAATTTTAATAAAAGCAAATGAGCCGCAAAATCATACAAAGCAACAGCAACAACAGCAACAATAGCAGCAACAATATTGACAACAATAGCAGCGACAGTCGAGAGACAGGCAAATCAGAGAAAATATATGCTACAATTTCTGTCTGCTAATGTCTCAACTTTGTCACGATGATTGTACCCACACACACACGCACACTACCCGGCTCTGTAATATATGCTACGTTTTACATTTTAAGATCGTTGCCACACACGGAGTGAGCGCTTAAAAAGGTACGACTGCCAGATTGAAGACAAAATAATAAGGATAACAACAGTTGTCAACTGCTGTGTCCATCAGATGAGCATCCTCATCTACCCACAGGTAGGTGGGCTACCCCCCATAGCTATAGCTATAGATATAGATATAGATATAGATATAGATATAGATATAGATATAGATATAGATATAGATATAGATATAGATATAGATATAGATATAGATATAGATATAGATATAGATATATATCTTATATATTATATATTACATATTATATATTCCCAGTCTATCAAGTCTCCCATCTGATCTATGGACTTTGCTCGTCTGTCCAACTTGCGGCTCATGCCTCCAATTTGCATGGCCTGCTGCCGCATGGGGTCCTGCCTGCTCCAGCCTTTCGGACGCTCCATAAATTTCATGGCCGTTGTTGGCGCTCTGTGTTAGCTGGCCCTTAAAGAGCTCTCCTGGCAGCTGTCGCGCTTAGTGTCCTGTTCTAAAATATGTTGCATGTGCTTTTTGCTGCTGTTGCTGCTG